TGGGACCCACACTAGATTTGAAGGGAAACGAAGATTCTGAACCCCAGGGTAGCTGTCTGGGTTCCATGAGAGGTAAATGTCTGTCCAATGCTGAAAACAAAGTGTCAAATTAGAAAAAATTATATAAGGCAATGGAAAAGTGGAGGGTCAACAAAAGTGACATGTGAAGGAAACCTATATATTCGTGGTACAGTGGCATATATATCACATCACTGGTATTTCATAGCATTTTTTACTGAAACTATATCCATGCATATTATTGCTTTACCTTTGAATGACCAAAAGTATCAGAAACTGCAGTAGGAAGAAATCCACTGATAAGCTGAAATTTCCATCTGTTTTATGTGCATTGATATTAATTTATGTTTCACATGGTATTTGAATCCTCATCTCAACTGATCTGAAAAGTTTTGTGATTAACCAAGAATAGTTATTGTAGTTAGATTTTCTATAGCAGATCCTAGAGGATGAAGGTGTACAGGATTCTACTTTCCACTCAAACAATGTGAATATAATATTCAAAATGTTTGCTATGGATTTTTTTTTCTTTGTCAAATCATTGTAAAACTACCACAAGATTTGGTGGTACTTCTAGTAAAGTGTTGCTTATTAGATACTCCTCTGTTTGCAGATAAGAATCTTTTTAAGTCCTTAACAAGAGGACAGCTTCAACCCATTAGAAGTCAAATATTTCCTCTTCACACAGACTAATACAGCTGTTGGCTCTTCTACTTTGTCTCTAACTCTGATAATGAAGCTTGGCACAGAAACGTTGCCAGGCCAGCAGTTGTTGGCACTAACCATGTGCAGTCCCATTTGAGCCTAGGCCAGTATTCAGCTAACTGAACACAGCATCAAAGGGTTTAAAAACACAGAGTGAGTGTGATATGTGTTGCTTCTGTGCTTATTTTTATTACTTATAATGCACAGCATGATGATATATGATCCACAGTGGTATAAATACTGGCATTCATCCTGGCATCTAAAAGTATGCTAGTATTATGCTTTTTTCTAAATCTGTGTGCAAGCACACGTGTTACCCAGATTAACCACAATATTGAGCATGTCTTTACAATACAATTCACTGTTTGGAAATCTAGTTGTCAGGGTATTCATGTGGACAGACCATTCACGCAAACATTACATGGCAAGCAAATTTACTCACGGCAAAGGTGGTTACAGGATAAAGTGCTTTGCCATATTACAAAAACGGCTTACGAGTGGCTTGACACAGTGTATTCAGACTTAATAAAATCCATAAATTAGTGGGTCACACCCAGTCCATTGAGGTCTTGTCCCACTACTTGCAGCAATCAAAGAATCTGCTGCTAACATCCGAGTGACAGACACTACAAGACATAGTTTTTCCATGCTCCAATGAGTTGGATGTGTTTTTGCTGCATGAGAGCTATATGGTGTGTATATAAATATATGGTGGAGGCATTCAATTGCTGAAAGCACAGGGCAAATTCCTCATGTACCAACAAAAATTCCTAGAGCTAAAGTAGCCACAGTATATTTTTATCTGTTTGTGTGTATGTATATGTGCATGCATGTATTTTTATAGTGTTTTTTTTTTCTTTCTTCCATTTAAAAGGTTTAGTCCTTGTGACTGTCAGCATGTTTCCACACCATCTGTCAGTTAAATATACAATAGAAAATGATTTCAAAGATATTCCATCCATCTCAAATGGGCCTGCTGCATATGTCTGCACTCACGCAGCTAATGACTTAATCACTACACTTGTCATCTGTGGGCCTTGGCGGTTTGGTGCTTCTTTTCATGTTCATTGGCTGGAAACACACAACTAACAGCCAACAGAACTAATCACAGCTCACTAACTTTGTAGTCTGTCAGGAACAGATGAGGAGGACTGAAGGCTATGTAAGGTAACAGCTGTCTAAGAATAGGTATGGAGTTGCATAACATAAATTCAAGACAGCATCGCTAATTTGAGAGTATGAAAGGCAGATTTTTTTTTTCAAATTCATATATGACACACGTGAGTCAACTGCAAATCCAAAGAGGTAACAGAGGTAATTGAAAATGTAGCACTAATCTGATTTTCGTTATTTGCAAGGGTGAATTGATTTTATTTGTACTGCAATGGCCATATTACTATTTCAATATTCTAAAAAATGTTGGTTTCATAATCAATGGATTGTTAACAATAACACAATTTCAGATACACTATTTTTATTTGTTTATTTGTTTTTTATTTTCAGTGCTGAGTATTTCAGTCACATCTGGATGTAGAACAATCATTGACTGATAAACCTGTAATCTCAAACTTGTCCTTTCTTTGACTGTCTGGCTGACTTTGTATGAGCTGGTTAATGCACATCTTAGGTCTCTCTCAAAAATTGCAATGTCTGCAAAGCCCCCTTAAGCCATTGAACCATAGTAGATGCTGGTATTAAAGAGGAGGCTTCCTGAATAATTGATTTATTCAACTTGTAAGGTAGTCAGCAGCCAACTCAACGTGACAGCTGTGACATACTTAATGGGATCTTCTGAGTGTGGCTGTTGTTATAATGAGACTGTTGTACCTACCTGGCTGGTTTGATGTAACACTTTTCCTAGAGCTACTAAACGCTGCAATGCATATTTTTTATGCTATTTACTTCTTTGCCAGTTTCTATTCTGATATAGAAATTCTACTTAAGTGGATACGAGACAGGAATTTGTCTGACAACAGCATAACAACCACACACAGGTTTTGGTGGACTGTGTTGAAGCAATGCAAAGTTTTTAAAGAAATTATGAAGGTAGTGCTTGGAAGTATATGCAAACAAAATTACCACAGATAGTGTGGCATTTGCTGCAAC